ATGCTTTTGAACTGTGGTGTTGGAGAAGACTCTTGAGAGTACCTTGGACAGCAAGGAGATCCAACCAGTCTATCCGAAAGGAAATCAGTCCTGAATCTTCATTGGAAGGACTGATGCTGAAGCTGAAGCTCCAATCCTTTGGCCACCTGATGGGAAGAGCTGACTCGTTGGAAAAGACCCTGATGTTGGGAATGACTGAAAGTGGGACGAGAAAGAGAGGACAGAGGATGAGATGGTTGGATGGCATCACCGACTCAATGGATTTGAGTTTGAGTAAACTCTGGGGGTTGGTGATGGACGGGGAGGCCTGGTGTGCTACAGTCCATGGGGCTGCAAAGAGTCAGACTTGACTGAGTGACTAAACTGAACTGAATGATTAATGATGTCGGGAATCTCTTCATGCTTACTGACCATTTATATATCTTCTTTAGCGAAATGTCTTTTAAAATCATTTGTCTATTTTTAAGTTGTGAGGCACACATACTTGAAGAAAAATAAAAGTTTGATGTGGTATGGAATGAGATGAGGCATGAATTTTTAAAAAGCTTTTGAGATTTAAGTGAAGGAAAAGAAGGGGGTCAAGCAAAGATTTTATAGAAGTAAAGGCAGAGGGAATAGCTAAGACTATGAAGAAAATCAGAGATGGCAACTGGATAGAGAATGACTGGAAACAGGAGCCACACTAAACAGGGTAGTCTCTGAAGGCTCTTTGCGGAGTGTCATTTAAGCAAAGGCCTGTCAGCCATCTTCAATTCCATCTTCCCCTTCATCTCTCTTACACACTTACTTGACAAGTCATAGCTATGATACTTTACCACAAATGACCTTCTAATGCATAAGCTCATGATGGTCATCACGATCTAATGCATAAGCTCATGATGGGAAAAAGGAGAAAATTCTTACACGTGGAAACCTGATACAACTGTCAAAATACATGGAAGAAGCTAGGTAAATTGTGAATTATTATCATGATTTTATTTATTCTGAGACAGTAAAAGCTACATTCTTTCTTTAAAAAATTAAATATTAAACTATGTCTTAAAAAAAATTATCAGTGTCTGTAGGCAGGTCCGATAACCCTTTGCCAACAGGTACTATTGGTTCAGGACCAAGGATAGCATTTCAGTTTTTCTGCCCCCTCCCTTCATTTTATTTATGTCACGTGCATGCGTACTAAGTTGCTTCAGTTGTGTCCGACTCTGTGTGACTCCATGGACTGGGACCAGCGAGGCTCCTCTGTTCATGGGATCCAGGTAAGAACACTGGAGTGGGTTGCCATGCCCTCCTCCAGGGCCTCTTCCCAACCCAAGGATCAAACCTGTGTCTCTTATGTCTCCTTCATTGGCAGATAGATTCTTACCACTAGTGCCACCTGGGAAGCTCTATTTCTGTCAACTCTCAATTTTTTTCTACGTCCCTACTGCTAGCACCCCAACAGTGCCAGAATGTTCCATTCTTACAGTACTCTCCATTCTACTGAAGTTCACCGCCCAAATAGGATGCCATTGCTGCTGCTGCTGCTAAGTCGCTTCAGTCGTGTCTGACTCTGTGCGACCCCATAGACAGCAGCCCCCCAGGCTTCCCCGTCCCTGGGATTCTCCAGGCAAGAACACTGGAGTGGGTTGCCATTGCCTTCTCCAATGCATGAAAGTGAAAAGTGAAAGTGAAGTCGCTCAGTCATGTCCGACTCTTAGTGACCCCATGGACTGCAGCCCACCAGGCTCCTCTGCCCATGGGATTTTCCAGGCAAGAGTAGTGGAGTGGGGTGCTATTGCCTTCTCCAGGATGCCATTACTTATGTGCTTTCTTTCCCTTCAATACTTCTCTCTTACTTTTCTTTTCAATTTTGGTAAAGTACAACCAATATAAAACTTACTATTTAGCCATTTTTCAGCATATAGCTCAGTGACACTAAGTACATCCACCTAGACTTTCTTTATCTTCTCAAACTGAAACTCTACACCCATAAAATAGTAACTCCGCAGCTCCTTCTCCCCCTCAGCTCCTGGCAAACACCAGATTCTACTTTCTGTCTCTTCCCCTAACCCTGCTACCACCACCACTTTTTATTTCCTATTCTGCAGATTTCCACAGAATAGTTCATCGATAGCGTAAGCATCAACCCTAGTAATTATAAATGCAAATTCTCAGACTCTTGATCTACTGAACCAGAAACTCTCAAGCGGACTCAGCTCTCTGCAGTTTAACAAGTCCTTCAGGTGATGCTAATGCTCATTTCCTGAAGGAATTTTCTGCAATAGCTTAACTGTTGACTTGAGGTAGCTGGGTAAAAGTGAAAGTGAAAGTCACTCAGTCCTGTCCGATTCTTTGCGACCCCATGGAATATACAGTCCATAGAATTCTCCAGGCTGGAATACTACAGTGGATAGCCTTTCCCTTCTCCAGGGGATCTTCCCAACCCAGGGATCAATCCCAGGTCTCCCGCATTGCAGGCGGGTTCTTTACCAGCTGAGCCAGAAGGGAAGCATAAGAAGACTGGAGTGGGGAGCCTATCCCTTCTCCAGCGGATCTTCCCAACCCAGAATCAAATCGGGGTCTCCTGCATTGCAGTCAGATTCTTTACCAACTGAGCTATCAGGGAACCCCTTGAAATGATGGTTGAATATAAAATAAGACTTGGTTTGAGGCTCAGACCATGTAGCCACAAAATGCATTTTAAAGAAGTCTTGTGGCATGATTTGCCCAGTGGCTCCCAAATATTGATGCACATTATAATTGCCTGGAAAGCTTGTTTGAGAACCTATAGATTTCTTGTATTCACATCAGACATTCTAAATCAAAATCTCTGGGGCGGGAATTGGTACTTTGGCTGCCCTGATAATTCTTACCTAGTTGTTAGCAGCATGAAGGATAGACAGACACAAGTAAGTCTGGAAATTGGAAAGTAAGTTGGGATTACGGAAATACTCCAGGAGGCAGAGGCAGAGGGTCTATAGAGGGGCTGGAGCTTAAAGAACAGAAAGATGGGAAAATCAGTTGTGAGAATGTAGTTGATAGGACTTAGTGACTTAATGTTAATTGATATAAATCATTCACAGTCTTTAAAAGAAAAAGGGTTAATACTTTAATGGTTCAGAAGGATCTGGTACTTTCCTTTCCATGTATTTTCCTCTACTATGAAGCAACTATATCCAGAAGAGAGTTACATTGCCGGGCAACAGGCTACAAGTTAGTTGTTCAGTTGCTAAGTTGTGTCCGACTCTTTGCGACCCCATGGAGTGCAGCACGCCAGGCTTCCCTGTCCCTCACTGTCTCCTGGAGTTTGCTAAAACTCACGTCTATTGAGTCAGTGATGCTGGGTAACTATCTCATCCTCTAATGCCCGCTTCTCCTTTGCCCTCAATCTTTCCCAGCATCAGGGACCTTTGAACAATGCCGGGCAGCTGAAAATCCATGTATAACTTTTGACTCCTCAAAAACTTTTGCTGACAGCCTACTGTTGATTGGAAGCCTTACTGATAACATACACAGTTGATGAACATCTATTTTGTATGTTATACTTGATATATTCTGAATTCTTCCAATAAACTAGAGAAAATGTTATCAAGAAAATCATAAGGGAGAGAAAATACACTTACAGTACAGTACTGTATTTATCCATACCATAAGTTTATGTCATCTGTTTACAAAATGAATTATCTGCCTCTATCTACATCAATATTGTCTTGTATAATGCAAAACACTGTAGGTGTTATACATATTACTAACACTAGACATCAAAAATGAAAAGGTAATGTGAAAAAGAAATCCATACTTGCTTATAGGTTTAACAGTTTCTACATTGATAATGAAGTAGCAGCAATATGATTGCTTTATTGTAGCCTAGTGTAATCAATACAAATGCTTCATGGTAGCCTAGCTTATATACTCACCAATGATCAGTATAAAATTTTTATAGCATACAGTGTAAGTCACTCAGTCGTGTCCGACTCTTTGTGACCCCATAGAATGTCCACCAGGTTCCTCTGTCCGTGCAATCTTCCAGGCAAGAACACTCGAGGGGTTGCCACTTCCTTCTCCAGGGGATCCTCCCAACCTCGGGGATTGAACCTGGTTCTTCCACACTGTGGGCAGACTCTACTGACTGAGCCACCAGGGAAACTATTATAGCATTCAGTATTACAGTCTTATTCACAGTACAGTATTGGGAACACTGTTATATTAAAAAAAAATTACCTGTGATGCTAGGCTGATATGCAGTTTCTCTGATTATAAGAGACAGGCATACTGTGTGATGTAATTCTTTAAAGGAAAAATGATAAAACAAAAGAAGGCTAACACACTATTCATTTAATATGAAATATCACTCACCTTATGCCTATGTAAGTATAGACAGAACCTTACATATTTTTATGCATTCATGACATACCTAAATTTCTTAATTTTTTTATATTTCTAGGCTACATAGTTTGTCCAAAAGTTTTTCAAATTGTTGCAAATTTACAAAAAAAAAATTCCAATATATTTGTTGAAAAAAAAAAATACCATTTGTAAGTGGACCTGTGCAGTTCAAACCCATGTTGTTCAAGGGTTAACTTAGATTAAGTTCAGTCCAAGTGCCATATAGGGAAATGAACAGCAGATGGCATCTCTGTGCTATGCCTGAATTATCAACCTTTGAAGGGAACTGGCCTCGGAATGACTGATGCTAAAATAACAACCCTTTGGAGTGTCAACGTGGATCAACTCAATTACTGATTTGAGGGGGATCTGGAAAAGGAAGGCCAAATAAAGAATCCATTTTGTCCTACCTTTGTACCTGGCTTCTAATGATACCTTGTACACTTTTAAATATTTTAACTCCCATTCAGATTAATAAATTTGCAATCCAAGGTCCCAAATGATCGCTGTAGCAAGTAGAATTACATGAACTCAAGCAGGCTTGAGTTTAGGAAAAAAAATCCCCAACTTGGGCCACTTTTCCAGATGTCCTCCTTTGAGCTCCAAAATCACTGCAGATGGTGACTGCAGCCATGAAATTAAAAGACACTTGCTCCTTGGACCAACCTAGACAGCATATTAAAAAGCAGAGACATTATTTTGCCAACAAAGGACTGTCTAATCAAGACTATGGTTTTGCCAGTAGTTATGTATGGATGTGAGAGTTGGACAATAAAGAAAGCTGAGTGCCAAAGAATTAATGTTTTTGAACTGTGATGTTGGAGACGACTCTTGAGAGTTTCTTGGATGGCAAGGAGATCCAAGTTCCTTGGATCCAAGATGGATCGAAGATCCATCCTAAAGGAGATCAGTTCTGAATCTTCATTGAAAGGACTGGTGCTGAAGCTGAAACTCCAATACTTTGGCCATCTGATGTGAAGAACTGATTCATTAGAAAAGACCCTGATGTTGGGAAAGATTGAAGGTGGGAGAAGGGGATGACAGAGGATGAGATGGTTGGATGGCATCACCGACTCAATGGACATGAGTTTGAGTAAACTCTGGGAGTTGGTGATGGACAGGGAGGCCTGGTGTGCTGTAGTCCATGGGGTCACAAAGAGTTGGACACAACTGAGCAACTGAACTGAACTGACCTTTGAACTTTTGCTATTTGCAAAGTTTAGGAATAGCAAAAAAGAAATAAAATCAAATATGGAAAATAAAGGGCAGGGCAGCTTGGACTAGTAAATGAGGCCAGTGGAATGGAAATAAAGGAGGTGTTATATTTCTTGCTTTTTGTAAAACTTCCTGGGAAAACTGTTAGGTAGGATACAGAATTTTACACATTTTTAATGTGCTTGCAATCACAAAAAATGGCATCATGACTTAGTGATTAAGAGGTGGAGTCTGGAAGCACCCACTAAAATCTAAAATTCTTCCACATCCTAGCTGTGTGCCTGTGACTAAGCAACTTAATGTCTCTGCATGTCAATTTCCTCATCTGTACAAGGGAAATGGGAGAGATATCATTTCTCTATAATGTACAACATGACTAGTATAATTGACACTGATGTATGTTATATATGCAAGTTAAGACAGTAAATCCTAAGAGTTCTCATCATAAGGAAAGTAAATATTTTTAAATGTTGTATCTATATGAGATGATGGATGTTCACTGAACTTACTGTGGTAATCATTTCATCATGGATGAAAGTCAACTCATTATGTTGTATGCCTTAATCTTATATAGTGCTGTGATTAAGTTATATCTCAACAAAACTGGAAGAAAAAAATTAATATTATCTAATCAGATTCTTACAAGATTTGTCAAAAATTTTAAGGTACTTAGAAGAGTACCTGGCATGTGGTGAGCCTATCATAGACAGGTATTTGAAAAAAAATTTTTAAAGCAGCTTTTAAGTGATGGGACAATCTGTGATTTTTTTTCCTATTCAATTAAAAATATTTATTTTTTGATAATTGGAAAAAAGTTAAAAATTTTTTTAACCAAGTGTGCATGCTCAGTCGTGACTGACTCTTTGCCACCCTATGGACCATAGCCCACCAGGCTCCTCTGTCCATGGGATTTTCCAGGCAGTAATCCTAGAGTGGGTTGCCTTTTTCTCCTCCAGTGGATATTCCTGATCCAGGGATTGAACATGCATCTCTTTGGTCTCCTGCATTGGCAGGTGGATTCTTTACCAATTGCACCACCTGGGAAACTTTTTTTTTTTTTTAATTCTTATTTATTTTTGGCTGTGCTGGGTCTTCCTTGCTGCATGGGCTTTTCTATAGTTGCGACAAGCGAGGGCTACTCTCTAGTTGGGGGGGGGGGGGCGGTACATGGAGCTTGTCATTGCGGTGGCTTCGCTTGTTTCGCAGCATGGGCTCCATGGCGCACGTGAGTCCAGTAGGCGTGGCCCCCGGGCTCCAGGGCGCACGTGAGTCCAGTAGGCGTGGCCCCCGGGCTCCGGGGCTCACGTGAGTCTAGTAGACGTGACTTCCAGGCTCCGCGGCTCACGTGAGTTCAGTAGACGTGGCCCCCCGGCTCCAGGGCACAGGCTCAGTGGTTGTGCCCCATGCGCTCGGTTGCTTCTCATCATGTGGGATCTTCCTGGATCAGGGATCGAACCCATGTCTCTGGCATTTGCACGTGGATTCTTTACCCTTAAGCCGCCAGGGAAGCCTGTCACCTGGGAAACTCTTTTAGCTAAGAGAATTAGAGAAAAATCCATACTTAAAATTTTTCTCTTTTTTGAGCTAGTTTATACATCTCCAACTTTTTCTGTTAATCTGCCAAACCCAATATTAGATATATCTTGGCTGTGAGAAACTTTGAGGTCCTCAGAGTTTTCAGAATTATTATGTATTTTATTATTTATTTTTATTGTAGTCAGATATACATAAGTATTACCATTTTAACTATTTTAAGTGTACAGTTCAATGGCATTAAGTATATTCACAACGTTTTGTAACAATCACCACTATTTCCAGAATTTCATCATTTCAAACAGAAACTCCACATCTGTTAAACAATAACTTTCCATTCTTCCTTATCCCCAGCCCATTGTTAACCTCCATTCTACTGTCTGTCTCTATGAATCCACATATTTGAGGTACCTCAATAAGTGGAATCATAAAATACATGTTCTTCTGTGTTTGGTCTATTCACTTAACATAATGTTTTAAGGTTTACCCATGCTGCAGCAGGCTTTCTTGGTGGCTCAGATGGTAAAAGAATCCGCCTGCAACGTGGGAGACCTGGGTTCGATCCCTGGGTGGGGAAGATCCCCTGGGGGAAGGGCATGGCAACCCACTCCAGTATTCTTGCTTGGAGAATCCCCATGGACAAAGAAGCCTGGGTGGGCTACAGTCCATGGGGTCAAAAAGAGCCGGACACAATTGATAGACTAAGCACCACATGGCATGTTACAGCATGTATCAGAATTTCATTCCTTTTTATGACTGACAGTGCATTGTATGTATGTATCACACTTATTGATTTATCTGCTGGATACATGAATTGCCTCCACTTATTTGTTATTGTGGATAACGCTGCTATGAATATTGGTGTACAAGTATCTATTCCAGTCCCTGTTTTTAATACACTTGGGTATATACCTCAGGGTTAAATTTTTAGGAACTGTCAACTGTTTCCACAGGGCTATATCCTTTTACATTCCCACAAGCATCCAGCATTATTTTTCTAATATGTTGGTCTTTTTTTTTCTTTAAAGTCAAACCTGGACTGGGAGTAAGTAGCAAAGCTTAGAGTCCTGCCACAGTTTGCTGATATGTTGCTAGTAGCAACAATCTTGACACATCACCTCCTAGACTAGAGTGATGTTTCTCAATGTACACAGTTGAGACTCCCAAGGCAATCACCTAAGAGGCTTATTATTAATACATCTGTAGGGTCCTTGATTCCACTTCATATATGCTGAATCAGCATCTTAGGGACTGCGGTCCCCTAAAATCATCATTATGCATGCTAAAACATGAAACTCAGAAACCTAGATTGTTGAGTTCCCAAAGGCAGGGAAAAGACCTCAGTCACTTTTGTATCCTTCACTGCCAAATATCCTGAAGATATTCAACAAACATATACTTGAACTAATAATGCAGTCTAAATTTGTTTGATTGCTATGTACAGTATTCATTACAACTAAATTCTATCACTAAACAACTAGTTAGAAAATCTGTAATAGTGTAGTATGCCTTTCATTTGTATAGACCGTGTATCTTACCAGCTGTGGTCTATTATGCCATCTTATGCTGCCAAGAATCTTTATTCTATATGTAATTTTCAGCTGAGTCCTTCAAACTTTGTAACAGGGTAAAAAAGGATATGGACTTGGAACTGGAAGAGCTGTCTTTGTGTAACCTTTGATAATTAAATCAAAATGTCTAAGAATCAAGTTTATAATTTCTAAAGGTCGGCAACATTTCCTATCAACTTCGCAGTGTTGCTGAAGCTCAAATGATATTCTACGTAGAAAAGTCTACTGTAGCAACGTCTATAGTTACTATGTGGCCGGGTAATTTAAACAGAGCAAAAAATATGTTTCTTTCCTAAAGACCTCAAATATGCTACAGTATCAATTAGCAGCTCTAAAGCACAGGCAGACGAGATTGGAACAGAAACACGGCAGAAGAACCTTAAGTGGATGGAAAACATTCGTTCATTCATTCATCACGTTTATCCAGCATCTACATTTATAACACGCTGGGCGTGTGTGAAAAATAGTGATTAAATAAATTCAAGTCTGTCCTTCAGAGATTTAGTACTTTTGTGTATATTAATAAATAGCAAGCTGCCTCATTTCAGATCAAACTCTCTTCCGCATCAAAAAATAAGGTGTCCGGGACCCGCTTCAAATACGCGCGCGCTGTCTCTTTAACGCGTAATAGAATTCTGATTGCATCGATCACAGGTTCGTAACCCTCTCCCAACCATCGGTCTCCTACCTATCTCGGTTACTACCCTCCTTCTGGTATCAAGCCGGGGGAAGCTCAGGTGTTGGCAAACGTTGGCTTTGCTGTGTGGCGACACCTGATCCCGGGGCGTCCGGCTTGCCAGGTGGCGGAGGTCCGGCTTTCCGCGGCGCGGGCGCAGCCTCGGAGCTCGGCTGGCCACGCCTGGAGCGCGGGGTTGGACTGGGGCGCCGTTGTTGTAGTGACCGGGAGGCGCTGCCGCTCCGGGCGGACGGTTCCGGGCACCGCACGGTCCCCCTTCCTACCCCGACCCCTCCCTCCCCCCGGTTCCCCCTGCGGGCAGGAGCCGGGAGCTGAGCGCTCCCCCATGGCCTCCTCCCCGGTAAGGACGGGCTGCGGTGCGCCTCCCCGGAGCCGCTCCCGCGGGTTGGGGAGCCAGGTCGGGGCTACACCCGCACCTGGCGAGACATGGAGGCAGGAGTCCTCAGCCGAATCCCGAGCCGCGAGCTCCGCGCCCCTCGCCCCGGGGCGCCCGTGACTCACCCCTTGCCTCCGGGGCGCCGGCAGCGCCGAGCCCTGGCGGAGCCCCGGGCTCTCCTCCGCGAGTCCCCGAGCTGCGACCGCCCCGGCGGCCCCATGGTCCCCCCAGAATTCTCTTAGGGTTTCCGTGGAGCGCCTGCGTCAGAATCACCTGGGAGGTTTTTGAAAATTACCGAAGCCCGGGGGCCCCGCCTCGCACCTGTGATCGCGAGCTTGCGGGCGGGGCCCCGGAGCGTGCATTTCAATCGCTCTGCCCAGGTGGTCTGCGGCGGGCGCCCGCTTCTGGGCCGCGCGAGCGGAGATTCCGCCGGCTCTGCGGGCGGAGGCTGGTGCTCGGCGTACACCCCAATATAGCTGCGGCCGCGCGTGCTCGCTCGGGGCGCTGATGCTCCCCACAACCCTCCACCGATGTGGCGGTTCCCGGGCCGGCTCCCGCAGGCAGGGACCGCACTCCTCTCTGACCTCTGTACATTCGAGGTCTGCACCTGCTTTCAAAACTTGACAACTTTCCTTCCCAGGAGGACCCGGTTCTGGAGCGTTACTTTAAGGGCCACAAAGCTGCGATCACCTCCGTGGACTTTAGCCCCAACGGCAAACAACTTGGTGAGTTTTCTTTCTTTTTTTTTGTTTTTTTGTGATGAGACGCTCAGTCGGTGGGAACCCTTGCCGCCCGTCCACGCTGGGTCCCCGGGAGAGCCACCTCTGAGGATCTATATGGGTGGAATCGTGTTGAGAGCGGCCGAGATGCAGTCGGAGCCGGAGTGGACCCGAGCCCGGGGTCACCTTGGTGCTCCCGGGCCCCCCCCAGGCCCCGCAGAGTCGCCCACAGGCCTGGGCCCCGGCCCGGGCCTGGCCGGCCACTGGCGCGAAGTCGCCACCAGGGGGAGGAAGTGGGAAGGGGAGGGGTTTGCCCTCGGCCCGGGGTGGGTGGGGTGTTGCTGGCTGCGGAGTTTGTGAAAAGTTGTGAGGCGGGCGGGAGGAAGTGGGGAGAGAGGGCTTGGGGCTGCACCGGAGGCCGTGCCCCGCGGAGGTCCCAGGTGACCCCTAGGAGGCCCCCGCGGCTGCCGAGGATCCGAACGCCTGCATGAAAGGAGGGACCTGCTTGGAAGTTCGCTGCTACCTGAGCCCGGAGCTCAAGCGTCGGGTCCCGCAGCCTTTCCCCGGCGCGCGGTGACTCTGGTGGCCGCGTCCGCGCCCCAGCCATGAGGATCCGGATGGCCGTGAGGTGGACGTGGGCAGGCAAAAGCTGCCTGCTGCTGGCGCTTCTCACAGTGGCCTACCTCCTGGTGGAACTCTCCGTCTCCACTTTCCATGTCTCCTTGCGAGTCGGCGGTGCCCGGGAGCCGGGGTCAAGACAGCTCTCCGAGCCGGGGAAGAAAGCAGTGGATTTGTCTCGGCCTCTGTATGAGAAGCCCCCTGCAGATTCCCATGCCCTTGGGGAGTGGGGGAAAGCCAGCAAGCTCCAGCTCAGCGAGAGTGAGCTGAAGCAGCAAGAGGAACTCATCGAGAGATATGCCATTAACATTTACCTCAGTGACAGGATATCCCTGCACCGCCACATAGAGGATAAGAGAATGTATGAGTGTAAGGCCAAGAAGTTTAACTACAGGAGACTTCCCACCACTTCTGTCATCATCGCTTTCTATAACGAAGCCTGGTCGACTTTACTTCGCACCATCCACAGTGTTTTGGAAACTTCTCCCGCAGTCCTTCTGAAGGAGATCATCTTGGTCGATGACTTGAGCGACAGAATATATTTGAAGACACAGCTGGAGACTTATATCAGCAATCTGGATAGAGTCCGCCTGATTAGAACAAACAAGCGGGAAGGGCTGGTGAGGGCCCGTCTGATTGGGGCCACTTTTGCCACTGGCGACGTCCTCACTTTCCTGGATTGTCACTGTGAGTGTAATACTGGCTGGCTGGAGCCACTTTTGGAAAGGATTTATAAGGATGAAACAGTGATCATTTGTCCTGTTATAGACACCATCGACTGGAATACTTTTGAATTCTATATGCAGACTGGGGAGCCCATGATTGGTGGGTTCGACTGGCGTCTAACCTTCCAGTGGCATTCTGTCCCCAAACATGAGAGGGACAGGCGTAAATCGAGAATTGAACCATTCAGATCGCCCACCATGGCCGGAGGACTGTTTGCGGTCAGCAAGAAGTATTTTCAGTACCTTGGAACTTACGACACTGGGATGGAAGTGTGGGGAGGTGAAAACCTGGAGCTGTCTTTCAGGGTGTGGCAGTGTGGAGGTAAACTGGAGATCCACCCATGTTCCCACGTGGGTCACGTATTCCCTAAGCGGGCACCATATGCTCGGCCCAATTTCCTGCAGAATACTGCTCGGGCAGCGGAAGTCTGGATGGACGAGTACAAGGAGCATTTCTACAATCGAAACCCTCCAGCAAGGAAAGAAGCTTATGGCGATATTTCTGAAAGAAAATTACTACGGGAAAGGCTGAGGTGCAAGAGCTTTGACTGGTATTTGAAAAATGTGTTTTCAACTTTGCATGTTCCAGAGGATAGGCCAGGCTGGCACGGAGCTATTCGCAGTATTGGGATCTCTTCTGAATGTTTAGATTATAATGCTCCTGACAACAACCCCACAAGTGCTAACCTTTCCCTATTTGGATGCCACGGTCAAGGAGGCAATCAATTCTTTGAATATACCTCCAACAAAGAAATAAGGTTTAATTCGGTGACGGAGTTATGTGCAGAAGTTGCCGAGCTAAGAAAGCATGTGGGAATGCAGAATTGTCCCAAAGATGGGTTTCCTATCCCAGCAAACATTATTTGGCATTTTAAAGAAGATGGAACCGTTTTTCATCCCCACTCAGGACTGTGTCTCAGTGCTTACCGGACACCCGAGGGCCGGCCCGATGTTCAGATGAGAACTTGTGATGCTCTGGATAAAAATCAAATCTGGAAGTTTGAGAAATAGATGAGCATAACAGCACTTTGGTTTGGAATTGACAATAGCTTCAGGGGAGTCAGCCTGCAGAGAGCCTCAGTGAAGATTTATTTCATCAGCATTCACCCAGTGGTCATCTGCAAGAGCTCTGTAAAAGCGGTGGAGCGTTTTGGTTAAAACAAAACAGTGAAACTGGGTGCGCAAAGAGCTGTTGTTTAATATTTCAAAGTGCCTTATTTGGGGGTTGTTTTATTTAAGAGCTTTGTCAATATGTTCTCTTACTTCTTAAAGAAGTCGACTCGACTGTGACTTGAGATACACAAAACATTTAAGTGCCAGACTTAATGTTAAAGAATATAAAAGTTCAAGCAAAATGAGGGATGATTTATGTTGATGGGTAAGTCCACTGCACATCTCATTAAAAAGAAAAAAAAAACTCAGAAATGTGCAGTTCAAGCTGTTGCTATTTTTGTTGTACATAGAATTTGAATTTCCTTTAGTCAGCATGTGAAATTTTAGGTTTTGTTTAGTTTTTTAATTCTAATTTTCTGTTACTCAAATAGAAATTAAGGAAAGTTACTCTTCAGGAAAAAGGCCTGGTTTAGTTATATTGTCAATGGATGAATTGGAATTGAGTTTAGAAGTCTTCCTAACATACAGACATCTCAGAAAAAAATGCCACATCTGAATGAAATGGAAACCATTTACATTCCACACTTTACCAGCTTGAGCTATTAGACTTAAGTGCTCTATGTTGATACCTCAAATCGCTCTGATTTTGTAATCTGTCCTCTCTGTGAACTTGTGTGTGTGTATGGGGTATTTTCTGATTGCACTTCCTTCAACTTTGAATGTATCAGAGAGGGACTCATTCAGAATACTGTGCTTCTCTTTATTAATGCTTAATCACTTAAAGTAAACGCTTAATAATCACTTAAAATAAACACAATAGAGGCCAACTGTGTTTACTGAAACGTGTGAAACTGAAAGTGGGCCCTGTTTGACAAAGTCAGTGCAACTCTCCTACAGAGCTCTTGCTGATGAGGACTTTTAAGGGTTGATCTTAAGATTTTCCAAGGGGAAGGATAGCTCTCTGCAATGGTAGATGGGGCCTTCCAGCTTCTTTTCTGCACGGAGCCCCAGGCCTGGTGCTTAGATAGCTGTCATTAATTGTGGGTGAATGAATGACTGGCTGAATGAATGGCTCAGCCAAACAGTGTGACTTTGGTCAAGTCCTGTGATTAAATGACTCCTTTTGGGCCTCAGTTTCCTCATCTGTAGAATGTGGGTGCTGGAGCAGGTCTTGGAGATTCCCTCCAGCTCTGGAATGTCATGCTTGTACATTCAGCAACCTTGCAATCTCTACAACACTTTTATCTCCTCCCTGCTAATGTAGATAATGTTGTTGAGCAATGGTCATTCCAGGTATGAAGCTGGAAAAAAGAAATGGTTTTTGAAAATTAAGTGAGCTGAGCTCAACTGAAGTGATTTTGGATTGAGTGGAAAGTTGTGTTTGTATTCATTTTATTTTGAGAATTGCTGAACCAATTTTGTTTTTTATTCTTTAATCTTTCAAACTCTGAAAGGAATCTTTTGGGTTAAGAATATTAATATTTTCCAAACTAATTTATGGGAGAAGTAAACATACTTTTAAAAAGTTACTTTTTCTGTTTTTATTCCAATGTTATATCCAGAAATCAATCACAGGCTGAATTCAGAATTAAATCTTAATTAGTTCATTTTGGTGTAGATTTGTGAAAAAGGCATGCTCCGTAAAGGATCAGTCCACAGTACTCAGAAGTTGTTTTTGGTGTCTACTTGATTATTTGGAGAGTAGGAACTTGGCAAAATTTAAATTTAAGAAAAGTTTTTAGAATAACCTTTTCAAAGAGTAATATTGCTTTGTATATTTTCTCTTTTGTTTCTTAAAATAAAAATGTGTTAATAATTTTCATATGTTATGTAGCAAAGAATGGTTTAGATTCTATGTGCAATGTGCATGACCTTGGGTGTAATTTAGGAAGAATTGGTAATAGTGCTCTGAATTGGTTAATTGGCAGCAAATATTCTCCTAAACCCACCCTCACCCCTTACTCAATCTGCCTTTTGGTTTTTAAAGATCACTTTACTCTTTCTGTTTATTTTGGTTGTTGTTCTTGCATGCTCAGTCGCTCAGTCATATCTGACTCTTTGTGACCCATGGACTGTAGCCCACCAGGCTCCTCTGTCCATGGGATTCTCCAGGCAAGAACACTGGAGTGGGTTGCCGTTTCCTTCTCCAGGGGATCTTCCCAACCAGGGATCGAACCTGTGTCTCCTGCATTGGCAGGTGGTTGTTCTTCTTAGCCCCCTATCAGATGGGAGCGCTAAGACTGATATATTCTAGATGTATTTATTGGAATTATTTTTATCTTAGAATCTTTCTGCTCTCATCAAAAGAAAAAGGGAGCATTGAAAAGTAAAGCACTGAATTCTTTATTTACCTTCTGCCTAAATTGCAAGGTGTGACCCATTCATCTTTTTGGAAGAAATTTTAGGCTCGTGTTTTATTTATATCAGTAATTCAGAATAAGCGGGTGGTTCATTCTTCATAATAATGTAGGTAATAGAAGAATGAGACTTTCACATTTTCATATGTTGGCATTTCCAATTTAATTCCTAAAATACGCTGTAAAACTACAA